GGGAGGAAGCGGTTCAGGCGCGGGAGGTGGAGGGCAAGGAGCGGGGGGAGGTGGAGCAGGGTGGACGTGCATGTGGTGGTGCTCGTTGGTGACAGAAGGGGTAGGCGCCCCCATCTTGAGCTTGGACATAAGAAATTTCCCAAGGAGTTTGTCTAGAAAGAAAACACGCGGTGATGCCCCTTCGGTTTCCTCAACAGCAACAGCGGTTGGCTCGTTTTCCTCGAAGGTTTCCCCAGTGGCATCCTGCTGCAGCATGGCAACAACTGGACCGCCGATGCCAGCATCTTCTGCTCCAGAGAAAGGAACAAATGCCGCAAGGGCAGCAACTAGTGCAACAAAACTCTTCATTTTCGAAGGCGAAGGGTTGGAATACCTGTTTAACCTGCCTAAACCTGAAAGGTCAAGTAGGAGAGGCAGAAAATATTCTGATGTCCCTTGGCAGGATCCATGTGGTCTTTTCCATCGTTCATTTCCGAGTTCAGTAACAGCAAGGGAGGAGAAACTGTTGTAGCGACGTGCGCATCGAGCACGACAGCGCGTAGCAGGCATAGATAGATGATAGGTTCCCCGGAGTGTTTTAGCAGTTTTCGTTACCTCTGGTGTTCGTTTGGAACGGTGAGTAAGTCCAGAAGTAATTTCCCCCATGCGGGGTGAGTTACCATTGCATGCGTACGACCACCGTTTCGGCCACAGTGCTTTCATTGGTCTGGGCTTGAAACACGTCGGGGGACCATGGCCAACGCAGGGCGTCCTTAGCAGTCGCTAATCGTTTAGCAGCCTTCATGTGACATGCGCCTGCAGCAAACGAAGGATTCTGTCAGTTCGTGTTGCCCAATGCTGTCATTTGCTAGTCAAGGGGACTCTCCGCACACTTGTTGAATGCCTGTTCGGCATAAGCACTGCAATGTACATGGGGAAACATTGAACTGCAGGGTATTCGTGCATTGCTGAGAAAGATGGATGCTGAAGTAAGTGCATGAAGGCACTGCGAGTGGCATGTGCATCGCAAAATGTTCACTACGAAAGGGCCTGTGGTGCGTGTAAGCTCAGGAAGTGGCAGTGCCGATTTGGGTCAGGAACTTGTTAACTTTAACCATTTGGCTGGACGGCTGACTACTGTTGTGGCCGGTGTAGGTTAACTGTAGCCATATTCGTAGACATCTTCAATACATGGGGCAATACATGGGTCTTCACTGAAAGGAAATGCGTGCTCAATGAGGCGGTGGGAGGTGGTTAGAAGTCACAGGTTGCCCCACGCTCTGCCGCTGCACCTAAGGTGGAAGAGCCACAGTAGACGTTGCAAAGTGGGGGCTGGACCCAAGCAGATGGCTCACAGAGACAAATAGCAGCTTACCTCATTTTTATTCAGTGCCTCTTCTTGGCGCCAACGCGTTTTTCAGTATGACTCCTTTGAAGCCAGTTCTTGTTTCTTCGGGGTCGGCCTGACTGTCTTTCCGTCCAGGCAAAAGTGATTTACTAGGGGTTTGCACAACTGGTGGTGAGGTTGCACGTGGCAGCAGAATGCTTAAGGCTTGCTTATTTTAACAGGTGCATCGCACCATCCAGGTCTCGAGTTCACGCTGGGTTCGGCCCACGCCTTCCTTATATGAGGAAGGCTAGATGCCTCCTACCTTCTATTACAACAAACAGGTGCGGGGAATTCCACGCCTTCTTTATATGGGGAATGGTAGATGCCTCCTGCTTTTGATTACAACAAACAGGTGTCGCGAATGGCATGCAGATTGCCAGCATGTTGCGGAGGCAATCCTACTAACAATGATTTACTGAAGCAGCGCAAAAACTCTAAAGTAGGGACTAGCATCTATCGGTGAGCATCTGAGGGCACATGCATTTTTAGCATTCAGCGTAATTGTTCTCTGCACGACACGCCACGGTGTGTGCAGATTATGGAATGTTTTTCCCATGTGGGCTGTGAGGGGAAGGTCCATCTTACCCAAGCATAGGGAGGAGACCAGGGTGGAGACGTGAGGAGGGTCGGCATGGTCCGACTGTTGTTGGGCACTACATGAAGCTCCAACT